AGTCAATGGTCCTTGGATGCTAAGCTAGTGGGGCATTTCAACATGTATCGGCATGAGTATGAAAAATCAAGAGGGTTTCAGTGAATGGATCAGACAGACAATATGATATTGAGATCACCAACAGGAGCTTCACCTGGTCTAATAAGTCGTCTTGAGCCCACCCTCATCAAGCTGGATCGTGTCCTGGTCAATGCAGTGCTGCCTGGAAGGAAACTGGGCCACTGCCACGGCAATCCCTGATGTAACATCTCATCACACTCCTACTGCCTCACGTCCTCTCATGTTATTAATGAATGGTCAAGACGCACCAGCAACTTTGGGGCCAAAACCTCCCTACCTTATCAGCTTTAAGATGAGACGCATCAGAGCAGCAATCAGGGCGCAGCTCTTGCTTGCAGGAACTACTGAAAAACAACAAGCACGCGGTTAATTTTCTTATCTGAGACTGAGTATGTATGGTGCAAGAATGCAGGCGGTTAACTGCTCTGGAATGTTCTCTGCGAGAGCATGCCAACAAAAAATCTCAGCAACTCATTCTTTGGCAAACTGCTTGCTGCTCGTAGTGTAGAAGAAGAGCCAAGCTGTCATGGTGTGCCTATGCCCTATGGGGATGAGAACACCAGATTCTTTCACACAGCAGCCAACTGTCATGCTCGGAAAAATAAAATCAGTGTCTTGGTATGCCAACAAAAACAAGCTGCAGATTGACACGACCTACTCTACAAGCCTGTTTGGACAGCACAGTTTATCAATGCCAACGTTAAATCCTAGTCAACTATATATACAATCCGGTTAATTAATCTGAGGGTTTTCGGAGAACCTTTCTCTTGGGGGGAGATTATCTCTGCAATCAACAGATTGCCGAATAGCCCAAGTCCTCAGGCCTGATGGGGTTCACAAATGAATTCTACAACAAGTTGAAGCATCTTCTCAAGGGTGATCTGCTAGCTAGATTTCTTTCAAGAATTTTATGAGGGCTGAGCAAATCTCAAGGGAGTCAACACTGCATCCGTAGTGCTCCTACCTAAAAAGAACACACCCCAGGAAATTAAGGACTTCAGGCCCATTTCAGTAACCCACAGTTTACCCAAGCTCACTGCTCAAGTGTTGGCCAACCGTCTGCAGAAACACATCTCAGAGCTGGTGCATCCCCCTACAATCTGGCTTCCTTCCCTTGCTGGACGGTGCATCGTCGAGAACACTAGTACATCTTTTTGACATTATTATGGCTGCAAGAGGCTTTGCCCAAAATTGGATACAATGGATAAAATAAGTACGTATTACAAACCAGCTCATCGCGTGTCATTTGTTAACAATGAGTTTGGCAACACCATATACTCCAAAAGTGGGCTACTTTATCTTGGTGGCAGATGTGCTGCAACGGCTGTGTCGTCAGAAATTCAATCTCTGGATGCGGACTTGTTCTTCTTCTTCCCGGTTTTGCAGTACGCAGACGACACACTTGTGCTTATTAAGGGGTCCACTGAACAAGTTATGGTGGCCATCAAACCTAAGGTGGAATGAAGATGATTTAGATCCATCATGGAGGTAAAGGTGAAATCCTCTACAACAGAACCAAAAACCCTGGAAGGAGATATAGGAGGTGGAAAAAGGTGTGGAGATGTGTATCTGACTCAAGATAAGCAGAGGAAGAAGGTACGCGAGTCGTCAGACACAAAAGGATTTGATGTCTGCTCCCATGCGTCAGTTTCAGTTTCAGTTTCAGTTTCAGTTTCAGTTTCAGTGATACACGCATCGGCTCAGACACACGGGCCACTTGTGTCTGACGCGCGGCGTCAGCTTTTACACGGCTTCTGAATTAAGATAGTACTCCGTACTTGTGAACTTTCGTTATGAAGGATTTCAAATTCAACCTGATCGAACACACTTTTATAACACTCTACTTAAAGTAGGGTTTCTTGGTTTAAAATCGTGGAAAAGACTTGTGGGAATCACCAACCAAATTTAAACTGAATCTTGAACAACCGGGGCGGAGCCACATCCAAGACCAAGAGGTGAACAAGTTGATTCTTCTGGGATGCCTTGTTGGATGCTCGCGGTCGCGGCACCAGGAATGATTGCAGAATGAAGATACAAGGGAGAAAACGAGTTACGCATGGTGCCAGACGCAGTGGGGCTTGTGTCTGCCGCCGGGCGTCAGTTTCAGTATGCACCCAGCCAGCCCACGCGCGACGCGACGCGCCGCCTCAGACACACAGGCCAGTTGTGTCTGACGCGCGGCGTCAGTTTTTTTTTTTTTTTTTGAGATTACGCGCGGCGTCAGTTTTACTTCACCCCCGGCCACACGGTTTCTCACTCAAGATACTCGTCGTAAGCTGTGGTTATGAAAGGTTTTTACATATCGACCGGAGCAAAGTACACTTGTAAATCTATTTTCGTAACTAAAGTTAATTTTAGCGCAAAATCGTGACAAATCTTTTGGGAGTCACCAACCAAAATTAAACTGTATCTTCAACAACAAGGGATGTGCTGAATGAAGACAAAGGGAGAAAACGAGCTACGGAGTTTGTGTCTGCTGCCTGGCGTCCGTTTCAGTATATTCAACTAGCCCACGCGCGCGTCGCCTCAGACACACGGGTCACACTTGTGTCGTCAGCCTTACTTCACACGGTTTCTCACTCAAGATACTACTTTTTAAGCTGTCAACTTCTAACTCTTATCTGAACTAAAGTTTCTTCTGCGCAAAACAATCGAACCCACCACATAAGGTTGCGTCTTGTACTTTTTCTTAAGGTGAAAAACAACAGTCCAGCAAGATGCTCATGATGAAAAACACAACAATGGAGCACAACAGTTCAGCAAGATGAACGAGCAGCAGGTCCACGCTCATGGTGATCACATCGGCGTACCCTGAAACTTGAGTAAGTAGCAACCATCAAAGCGTTTGACAAACAACTAGTACCTGCTGTTGCACCTGCACCCGTTGATGTGGCCAAAACAGAGCACTGCTGCTTCTGTTGTAAGTAGCAGCACTAAAAAAGAAAACAAGCTCAGATAGGACATGAAGTTCCTCGCCTCCACAAGAGCACAAGAACACATCATCTTTATTTTATGAAATGCTACAGCCTACATAGGGACTGCTCGCTCAGGTGTCTTGATTTCTCTCCAAGATAACCAGAGGAAGGAGCTACACGGGGCGTCAGTGAAAGACCAAATGTATCCAACAAATGCAGTCACCCACAGAAACAAACAAATGTACTCCCTCCGTCCCAAAAATACTTGTCGGATAAATGAATAAAAATGGATGTATCTAAAACTAAGATATGTCTAGGTACATCAATTACTTCGACAAGTATTTCCGGACAGAGGGAGTATCCAACAGTAATACAATGTCAGAAAAAAGGCAATATTCCAAACAAGAGAATATATTTCCAAACATAAACATCCAATCTCCAGGTCAAGAGCAAATCCACCAGCATGATTTCACCATAACTATGATTTGTCATCTATTACAAGCAAACAAGAGACACATGCATCATATATCACACTAAACAGTCTTCAGCATGTCGAGATCATCAAACAATACAAGCAAGCATTGAATGTTTTGTAAAATTCCTTCACTGTCGATTGCATAGAAACAAAATCTTTCTGCCATCCTTCTGGAACACATTGACTGCAACAAAAGAAAAGCTGCTCTTCAAATTAACCTCCTTCCATTGGCATCCTCAAACTTTCGACCATAGATCAGGAAGCTACAACTGCACAAAAAAATGAAGATGTTATTTTGGCACCATCATGGAAAATTGCTACCAAAACCTAAAGAGTCGTAGATGCACTGGCAATATATATTCAGGTACAATGCGAAGACAAATTCCAACTGGCAGAAACAAATAATAATGGAAGTACATCTCAATGACCACTCTAAAGAATCAAGCATTTGCCTGTCTCAGACTATCATCACCAAAAAACGGAACCAGACAAAACTTCAACTATGAAACGCACAGCTTTGTCAACGCGTACCTGGAGCAGATGATATAGTGAGCACATTGAAGCCCATTGTACCAAATGACAACCAAAACATGCATCATTATTCAGGAATATTCTCTTGATGAAGGAATCAATTTGAGATTCTCTACAAACTTGTATCAGTAATGAAGTTATTTGCACCATACATGATAACCCAACCATTATGCCTAAAACGAATTCTCTCTTAAGGACCAGCCAGTCAGAAGTAGACTCAATCTACACGCACAGATTTTTCTTTTGTGGCAATTTCCTTCAGAAACACTAGATGAGTGATGACGTAAAACTTTTAACACTACCAGGCAACTGGCCTCAAAAGGATGCACCTAAAGAGTGCAGACCCGGCCTGCAGGGTCAAAATCCATGCGGCCTAAAAGTATGAAACCGCAACTTCATGCATCATTTTTCATGCTTCAAGATGCACACACAAAGAGAGGAAAATCAATAATACTAAAACATAATTTAGTAATTTAACTACCATTAAAATGCTTTGCTGCAACAGTAATACACAGGTGACTCAATATAGTTGAAAAAGAAACAAAACTTACCAAATCCTAATGCCGTGCTCTTTGGGGGTACTGCGTCGCCATACCAGCTTGCAATATTATATTCCAAAAGTCTTCATCGCAGTCTAATAACACTCTCTCCTCAGGGTCCAGCTTAGGCAAACCGGATAGTTTGCAGCATTGAAAAACACAATAGTGTGTTATGCTTTCAAGGCTTAGCGATGCCTCTGACAAGGTACGGAATTCAGGCAGATCATGCAACTCAACCTTTTTCAATTTTGGAAGACCCACTTCTTGTGTCTCTCTAGAAGAAACTAATGTCCTTATGCTACAGCAATCCTTGACAATAAGCTCTTCTAAATTTACCAGGCTTATAATCCACGTTAGGTCTGTTAATTTGCTACAGCCACAAACTGTCACCGACTTGATGCTAAGCCCTTCGGGTTGCAAGTCAACTGTTTCAAGGTTTTGCAGGTTGTTTATTTCAAATTTCCGAAGGCATGCGAAAATCTTTGGCGTGTTTTGAACCACAAGATCGGTGTAGACTATGCTTCGCACCTTGTTAGAGCTCTTGATCTGCAGTTCATACAGTCTATCAAAGTCCGCAAGCATATGAAGGAGGTCGACCTTTTTCACTTGAAATCCAGACAAACACATGTATAGTGGGCAGACCTGGGGGAGTTCTCTCAGTTCACTCAGTACATTTTCATTTCCCACTGTAAATCCAGCGAGAAAGTTGTCAATTTCTGCCTCTTTCACCTCATTTATTAGTGCTGTGCTAAGAAAGCACCCCGTGTCAAACAGGTCTAACAATTTCAGTTCTTTCATTCTGACAATCACCCCTGTCGGTATATTTTCAAGACTAGGATTCCTTCGTAGAGTCAAATACTTTAGTCTTGAAAGATCTCTCAAATTCACAGGCACTGATCTTATTCCAGTAGATGCCACATTGAGGTATTCCAGATTTTTCATCGAGAATACCCGTTGAGGTAAATTGGGAATGTTAGCCCCCTCAAGGTCGAGAAATACAAGTTCATCAAATCTGCAATGATCGAATTTTATAGCAAATCGACTAACCAACACCTGCAAGTTAGACTGAAGCAGCTTCTCGTTCCTCGGATCCAGGTAAGATTTTTTCTTTAACATCTCGAGGTCTTTTGGTGAGGCCCAAACGCGCTGAGCTGCAGGCCACGTTTTCTCGGTTAATGATGTTCTCCAAGACGAATCTGGATACCAGTTTGCTTCCCTCCCATTCAAAGTCTTTATGATTGCCTTACGAATCATCGGATTCATTCTCACATGAGTATCTTCACTTGTAGTTAGAGTGTTCTGCCCTTTTTCCAACAAGCAATGTTGCTGCAACATCTTTATGTAGGCAAAACCTTCTCTATGAGCATTGAAGTCATCCAGCAAACCCATGCCTCTCCACCATAAGATGATGCTATCAATGGATATGTTCGTATCATCACTCCACAAGGAACAAATGAGGAGGAGACACTCTTTGATGTTATCTTCCAGGTCGTCGTAACTGCACCGTAGCCTGTCTAACAAGTCATCTTTTTTATGAGTAACCAGATGTAATTTTGCCTGTCTCAGCAGCTTTAGAGCTAGCTCCCACTCTTCAGGATCCTCTTTGATGGACATTGATAGTCCAACACTCCATAATGCCTCCGGCAGCCGGCCACACTCTTTTATTATCACAGAAGCAAGCGCGGAGACCCTTGCATCCTCCAAAACCTCGGTACCCACCGCACGACTGAAAATCTTCAGAGCATCATTCTCGCTTGGACACATCATCTGGATGATACTGTCACTGCCCATTGAAGCACATATAAAATGCGTGTGTGCTGTGAAGATAACTTTGCGGCGCACATGAGGGGCCACTGCTGAATCAGGGGCCACTGCTGAATCAGGGGCCACTTCTTCATCAGGGATGCCAATTCTTGCAAGACTGAAAGGCTCTCGAACACCATCTATCAGAAGCAAGAAACTCTTTCCACATAAGTAGTTAGCGATAGTAAATGCTTGTGCTCCCTCAGTGATATCTGGCGTTGAAGCCAATCCCATGAGGCCCAAAAGTGATTTTTGAATTTTAGATATAGTGCAGTCCAAACCAGCATCAATGTATAGAACCTGAAAAGAGCTATCATCACCTGCATACTGCGAGCGGCTCATGGAAATCTGTCTTAAGAGCATGGATTTTCCAACACCGGGCATTCCCCATATTCCCAACAGTTTAGAATCTGCATCTGTATTTTTGATGAAGGCAATTATCTTTTCTGCATACGGCTTCATGATCAGCAACGGGTCGTCCGATAACCATCCAGAGACAGGGCGCGGCCTTGGTTTCAACTCAACAAGTATCTCTTTAAATTGACCTCCAATGTCATCTGCCTTTTTAGTCTCTTTGAGTGCTTGTCTGGCATAGTACCACCTTTTAAAAAATCCACCTTTGTTATAACACTCACGTATCCTTTCCTTTTCCGTATGTAATAAGTCCACACGTTTCAGCCATTTGTCTGCCTGCTGAGAAGATGAGGATGGGTCGCTAAGAATGAAATCTGACTTCATCGCCACCACCCTTTGCACGGCGTGCTCATAGTCATCCATATGACGGCTTGGGTCAAACAAGAAACCACATAAATCAAATATAGGGTCCCAAATTTTGTTAATGACCAGCAAAAGAAATGCCGCAAGCGGGCTAGTGATAAGCCCAATAGTTTGCGGCAGCAGCTTTGTCCTGCAAATGGAAAACACAACCGCACCAAAATTAGTGCAAGAGTGAGTTATTTATGGCAATAATAAAAGTCCGCGGGAGAATGTTTACGGTGAGGTTGGTGCAGGAGCGTGTGCTTCCATGATGAGGAAGATGTCCTGCCGGTTCCGTCAATCAAAAGGGGTAGAGCCGGTTGCCCTCACGGCGCCTCGACCCTGTACAAGTGATATAGAAGTACAAATATACTCAAATCTACTACAAACAGATAATGAACTAAAATTCTATCGCATGAAAGTCACACAATATGCCCTGTAATGCAAAGGAGACAGCTCACTTATTTTAGTATTACAGTTAACCATTGTAAGAATTATGCAAAAAGGTTAATTTAGATCTAATCGTCACCTGTGCATATGGGAAATCAACAATTAACAATCTGAATAGGGCAGTGACATCAATGTTCATCCAGAATTATGCGAGAAGTTTCATTTATAATTATGTGAAACTATTCCTGCCAGAAAAGGAGGAACCTGACCGGCTTCACCCTCAAATCACACAAAGCTGGATCCAACTCCAGGTGCAAAACCACAACGGAGAAACACCAAATTGTTCAGAACTGAAGGCAGGTGACAAAGGAACTTTTGGTCCACTCACATCACTTAAAACATTCAGAAAATTTCATGTAAAGAACTTCTAGAAGCCTCACATCACTGCATACAGTGGTGCATCCCACAATAAAACAGAAGACAAGATCCCAAAGTACTTAACATACCAAAAAGTACTAATATACAGAGTTACGTACAAAAAAAAAGTAAGAACCAAGAGCAACTGCTGACAAAAAGAAAGAGCGACCAGAAGACTGAATCTTCATGTCTTCTACAACAAAAGCAGGACAGATAACCAACTTGAAATAGGATACAGAACAAGAAACGAGACAATGTGAGATCCAGGCATTGAGAAACTCAGAACAGTCATGTGAGATGACACATAATGTACAATCTTATCCGTCAACTGATTAAAATTCAGAGTACAAACAAACTCGAGACTTCAGGGTTGCCCAAGATTCAGGCATTCGGGACACATAACAGATAAGCATTTCAAGGAACAGATAAGCATAACTCTTTCCTGACCATGTGGGCATTGCTACTAACTAGCTTGGGGGTGGTGATGCCAGTAAAAACAAGCAGCAGGTGGGAGACAGGTACTGTCAGGACAGCAGATGTCGATGAGATTCAGTTATCGTAGGGACCAGATGAACCACAGTTATGAAGATCTAGAGGCTCGCAGTGCTTGCCGATGTACTGTACTGTTACACCTGCTTTCCTTTTTACTGTCTCTATTCTTTCTTTGCCCCGGCTATATAACAGCCAGCGCTGAGCGCGCCTACCCCATACCCAATTCTGAGAAATCTCTATTATACTCTAAACATACAGTTTAGAGTGGAGAATGGATATTCGGTACCATATACTAAACAGGAAAGTATGGCCACTGATTGGTACAGTTCAAACAGCTGTGATGGCTTTGAGTGAATAATTATCCACCATCACTGATGTACTGAAGACACTGGGACCAAATGGAGCTTCCAGTTCAGCACTTCCATCCCAGAGATTAGAAAATCAACATGCAGCAAAAGTTGAGACTGAAACAGAGATTCAGAACACTACTGAACAACAGAAAGAGACAGGAAATTCCTACAAGAACATTAACTGAAGAGTTAAGGAAACGCCTAGAGAACAATTAACCATGCTAAATGCTCAAAGGTAGCCTCCCATAAATATTGGACAACGATCATCACCACCAGGGTTTAACAGAGCAAATGTGCAAAACATTCCATGCTGCTCAAATGAAAACAACCATAACATCTGCTTTCAATTTCGAAGCTCAACCTGAAGCAAATACTTTTTGGGTAGAGCATATACTCCTCTCTCCCGTCACAGGTACGTGGTCATGCCGAGGCCGAAAAAGCAAAAACCCTACCCTAAGAGAGGAGGGAAGGGGAGAAGAGGTGAGGGTTTTACCTGGGAGAGA